TGTTAGCAGCACGGTACTGTTAGCAGCACGGTACTGTTAGCAGCACGATACTGTTAGCAGCACGGCACTGTTAGCAGCACGATACTGTTAGCAGCACGGTACTGTTAGCAGCACGGTACTGTTAGCAGCACGATACTGTTAGCAGCACGGTACTGTTAGCAGCACGGTACTGTTAGCAGCACGATACTGTTAGCAGCATGATACTGTTAGCAGCACGGTACTGTTAGCAGTGAGTTTCTCTTAGCAGCATGATACTGTTAGCAGTGAGTTTCTCTTAGCAGCATGGTACTGTTAGCAGTGAGGTTCTGTTAGCAGCATGATACTGTTAGCAGTGAGGTTCTGTTAGCAGCACAACCCCGTTAGTAGCATGATGATAATAATGACCACGGCAACACCGATGACTGCCATATGGTACCGGGTCCAGCAGTCAGAAAACATCCAATATTTCCCCGTGGAACCGAACTGTTCCATAGAGTTTGGTCCATGCAGGCGGAGGATCATGCAGACGGCCGCCATGACAGACCGGAGCCTGAGGCGGGAAGGGGGCCAGGAACTGAATCACGATAGCACGATGGTAAGCCAGCGGAACGCAAAACTCCAGAAGTGTGTCACGGTCATACCCGTAGCGTGGGTGTACAGTGTAGGAGCAAAATAAGTTAAAACAAAAACAACGGGAACAAAAAAACAGTGAGCCGAAGCGGAGTTCCCGTCAAATATTAGCAGGGTTGTCTTCAGAATGTTTTCAAAACTGTGGCCAAAGGAAGACCAATGGTAATCCTGGGATGGCACACCAAAACCAAATGCAAAAATGGAATTTTAGGACTTTTATTACATTGTTCTCAAATATAATGTTTTGGAAAAATACAGCAATAATTGCAGAATATGAAAACATAATTCAGTTTCCTGTCTTCCATTTGAGGATACTGAGAACAGGACAGTCACTGTCATGTCCACTTCTCTCTTCAATTCATATTCATAAAAAACAACATCCATATTAGACTGTCAAGTCATTTGGATGCTAGAGGGAGGAGCAGCAAAATGAAAGGGGGGACCATTGCCCCCATGGCCCCCTCTTAATGGCACCCTGTATGTTAAAAATTTACATATTAAAAGCATTTATAATAAACAGAACTGGCACACAGTCATCTTTAATTTCAAAATTAAAAGGAAAGGCATCTTAAATAGAGATGCATCTCATCTTTCCCTTTCCTCTTTTGTTAGTTTCTCTTTCTACACAATCACTATGTGTGTCTTGATTTGCAGGAGAGTTTAGGAGGCACTCTTTCTATTATTTGCCCTTTTCATTTTGCATCCTATTCCAACTACACTCTAAAAATGAGTAAATGAATTTTGCTTACATTCGTGAGCCAGTTTATGTGATGCTGCTATAAGATTATAAAAATGCACACGCTGCCTTCATGGTGTACAAACTGCACCTTACTGTACCCTCTTCCACACTCTACAAACCATATTATGCTTTACTGTCTCCTCTGCTACAGGAAAAAAATAAAAAAAATAACATAATTTGCTGTTGTGACGCTGTTGTCGCTGCTGGCAGCTTACCTTGCACTGGCACAAGGTGCACTCTGTGCCGTGTTTAATCCAAGAGGAGCCACTGAAGCGTGAGATGTTGTGCTCGTCTGTGCATGTCTTGGTGATATCGTTGCGGATGGTGTCAGCTTGGCAGGGGTCAGTGACACAGCGAGGACAGCACTCGCCCTCAGGCACCACCGTGAACTCACAGTCCACGGGCGGGCAGGGCAGAGGCCAGCAGTCCACCTGCCCCTGCTGAGAGGGAGAGAGGTCAGGGGAAGGAGAGATTTAGATGACTTAGACAGAGAAGAAAAATAGGCTACGCAAACGTACTATAGCAATTTTATTCATTTATTTTTTACATCTAAACATGTTAATAATGAAAACACATATTTCTCTTGACACTGTGTATTAGCATGCCGGAAGGATCGTCTCTGCTTGATGAGAGGAGGCAAAAAAGTTGTTAAGGTACCTAGAAAATATAGATGAGCCGTGCAGTCTTCCACCAAAGTCAGCAGTTTCTGCAGAGCAGAGAAGTAAATGCTGCAGCTTTCTAATTGTCTTATTGTTACTCCCATATTAATCTCGCAGCTAAACTTTCAGCCACCAAAGCCTTATTGGATTTTTCCTGCTGCCCATTTTTTTTTGTCTTGCCTCAGAAAATGGATCATTTATTCGGACTTTCTTTGCCAATTCTGCCCTTTAAAGATCCTGCACATCCTGCATAGGTCCCACTGACCCACTTCTGCTTCTGTCACTGACACATTCTGCAGTCATTTACTGGCAAAATGTATGACTTTGTGGGTTTTCTAAGCCCAACAGAGGATACAAGAAGCTAATGCACACGTGAAGTTTGAAGTTCGGTCATAAGTGTCCCACTGGGGATATTTAATATTGCCAAAAATTGTCTGGCTCTGCGTTTCAGAAGAGTTGTTGTAAATTTGGCAGGTTGTAAAGTACACTGACTCCCACAGCGCTAATGTCCACGCCTTGTTTCTGTGTACTGAGTAAACACCCCCCACCCACAGAGTGGCATCATTTACCCACAGGCAGGTATCCGCTCCTCGAACACTCATGTCTGTCTATGTAAAAATGACAACGTAAAAAGAGATTTAAAATGAAATGTGCATGATGTAAAATCGTATTATTTTCCAAAGCTAAGCTAAAGCTGCCTTTGATTTGCCTGCAACACAATAAAGACTGGGCTGTTGTTTTAATCTGTCTTTTCATTCAGCGTTCTCTGCAGCTCGTAGCTTTTTAATCTCTTTGCTCTTACGCAGAACGCTGGTCACTTTGTGAAAGACTGAATTCCTGTTCAAATGCCTCCAGGAGATTAAAACTGGTGACATTTATCTTTGCCTGGAAATTAGCCTCAAACAATCACAATCACCTCCCCGCCTTTTTTTTTTTTTTAGTTTCATGTGCTTCGACCTTAAGTACAATTTACACGCATGGTAATGGAAATGAGTGTTCCCTTGATATTCTGGCAAATTAACAGGATCAAACCTGCATGTGCACAGCCTCCAAAAGGCCACCTTCTTGATTTACAGCAGAGAAAGATTGCCATCTTGGTCCTTCCTACGTTTTACCCATCTGCCTGCTGTCACTGTATAGTTTAGATCCCCTGCAGAGCTTTGGACAGTGTTGCTCTGCGTAGTATGGAACCATTCAAGGTTCATTTCACATCTCTGTCACGCTGCTGGAGCAGCGGTGTGAAGATCCCAAGAGCTGCCTGCTCCTTCAGGAGCCACATTCTACTCTGAGTGCTGGTGGCCGTGTACATCTGGGGATCTTTAATTGAACATCTTTAGTGTCTCTCTCTCTCTCTCGTGTGTGCGTGCTTGGATTTCTGTGTGTGGCATGTGAGGCGACATTTCCAAGCATGTGCACCCCATGTACATGCTCAGGTTTACACTGTACGGGAGCGCTGTTGTTGTGACGGGTGAGTCAGCTTCCTCAAAAGTGTTTGTGTCAACACGTATAAGTGCCTGCAGTGAGCACGGCGGCGGCGAGAGCGATCTCATTTTCAGCTGGCTGCCCTTCCCCGCTGCCTCTCAGCTGAGCTGTGATTTTCAAGCTCGCCTATAATGGCGCACTGTAAGAAATCCAAGGAGCAGCCCCAAGGTCCAGGCAGCAGGACATTATTACAATGGCGGGAGATGACTTTGGAAGGGGAGGGTGGAGAAGGGGGAGATTGCTGCTGGTGCTCAGAGCGTAAATCTGTCAGAGTGGAATCACAGTATCTAGGCTACAAGGATGGCAGATATTTAAAAGCATCAGAGAGTGGATGAAAAGAGGGAAACAGAGTGCAGAGTACTTGTCTGTGACTTTTGAGGACACTTTGTGAGTAAACAAACAGGAAGTCACACTGGTGTGGGTGTGTGCCACAGCTCGCAAAAAGTGTGAGAGAGACAAGAGAAATGGAGCGGGATGTAAAGTGAGTCATTTGCATTTCATCCACATTTGGTTATGAGGTAAACCTGGCAACACAGGCGGAAAGATTTACTGACTGTCAGATTTATGGGGAAACACTTGCAAAATGTTTCGCTGTTGCTTGAACAACAGGACGGTGTGTAAACCTTGGAAAAGGTCAGCACAGCAGAAGGCGTGTACGCTCAAGTAAATAGTGGAGGCGTCTCACAGAGGAAGATTCATGAGGAGAACGTAACGTTATTGTGTTTGGCATAGAGGAGGGGGCTGCAGTCCCAGTAGAGGACGTATGAGAAACCTGAACGCAGCAACAGTCAACACAAGTATCACCCCTGCACTAAACTCACTGCTGCACCCTTTAGCTGTGGATACACACACATCCTCTTGTTCTCTCAACCTCGGAGGAACCTTTAAAAAAAGTGTAATTCTATCACAGTGAAGACTGTTCCATGAACTTTTTACAAATCAAAGTTATCACTCACTCTCGTTCTCTTTGTTGCACCAGAGGAAAAAAACTCTTTTGTCCTCACTGCAAACTTGCCATTCACCTCCTAATCACTGCCGCTCTTACCATTAAATATTTCTCCTTGACTCTTTTTTTTATTTTGCACTGCACATCTCTTCTTGATCAGCATTTCCATGGAGACCGGTGTATTTTGTTACATTTCTTGCGTGGGCGCTGCAGCGCAGCTATAAATGCTTATGATGTTGTCACTATCACTCTAAGTGGCTTCAGAGAAAAGCCACAAATTCCTGTGTTGTAAAATTGCATTAACAAGCTAGTGAAGGGTATTTGTTGGTGTTGTTTGAACCCACCAGACACTGGCACTGCTGGCAGTTCTCCACCCATGTGTCACCGCTGCCGTAGGTGAGCAGGCCGTTCTGGTGCAGGCACTGGCTGCTCAGGCGGGGGTCGCACTCAGGGCAACAGAACAGGTCAGCATTGGGGTTGTCGCAGTCGCACACCATCCTGCGGCACATCACTTGGCCAGCCTGGGCACAGAGAACAATGCAACATTCACATGCACAGAACAAAGCCATGCACGTGATAGAGTCATTAAACATGTATGTTCATAATAAATAATAAAATAAAGGTTCAGAAGCCCATCCCCTTTAAAGCTGCAAGGTTAAGATGTTTTAGGTCAAACTGTTGGCAGCTCACATCTGACTGAAATTATTTTAATAAAGGCTGATGCAAAACATTGTTTTTACTTCCTGTTCCTGACTTCAACTATCCTGTGGTCTTTATGTTGCTCTCCAACCATCTATAGGTCATACCTCAGTCAAGTCTCTGTTTTTATATAATCACTGTCAATTAAATGTCAGAAAATAATAGCCCACCCACATTTCTGATGTTGTCAGTACTGGGGCTTGAACTGGCGATCTTCTGATCACAGGCCCACCTTCTCTAACCTCTGCGCCACAACTCCCCACTCCCCAAAAACTTTGTTGCAAACATCTCAAATCCTTCTTAATTTTCTTGTGGGCATCTCAGTCCCTACTTATTTTGATGCAGACATCTCAAACCCTTCATAATTTTGTTGGAGAAATCTAAATCCCTACTTATTTTGTTGCAGACACCTCAAACCCTTCTTAACTTTGTTG